GTGGTAGACTGTAGGAGGAGGTAGTAGACTGAGGACTGTAGTGAACTGTAGGAGGCTGTAGTAGACTGTAGTAAACTGTAGTAAACTGTAGTAGACTGTAGAGACTGTGAGTAGACTGTAGGAGACTGTAGTAGACTGTGGAGACTGAGGCTGTAGTGAACTGTAGGAGGCTGTAGTAGACTGTAGGGAGGCTGTAGTAGACTGTAGGAGACTGTAGTAGACTGTAGGAGGCTGTAGTGAACTGTAGGAGGCTGTGTAGACTGTGAGTAGACTGTGGAGGCTGTAGTAGACTGTTGTAGACTGTGGGAGACTGTGGGAGACTGTTGTAGACTGTAGTGACTGTTGGAGACTGTGAACTGTTGGAGACTGTAGTAGACTGTAGGGCTGTAGTAGACTGTTGTAGACTGCTAGGAGACTGTGGGAGGAGACTGTTGTGATGAGGAGACTGTTGTAGACTGCAGTAGACTTTGGAACTGTAGTAGACTGTAGGGGCTGTAGTAGGCTGTAGGACTGTAGTAGACTGTTGTAGACTGTAGTAGACTGTTGGAGACTGGGAGACTTGTGGGGACTGTTGTAGACTGTAGTAGACTGTGGGAGACTGCAGTAGACTGTAGGGGGCTGTAGTAGACTGTAGGAGACTGTGGGAGCTGTGGGAGACTGTAGTAGACTGTAGGAGACTGTTGTAGACTGTTGGAGACTGTGGGAGACTGTGGGGAGACTGTTTTAGACTGTAGTAGACTGTGGGAGACTGTAGTAGACTGTGGGAGGCTGTAGTAGACTGTGGAGACTGTAGGGAGACTGTTGTAGACTGTAGTAGACTGTTGGAGACTGTAGTAGACTGTAGGAGGCTGTAGTAGACTGTAGGAGACTGTGGGAGACTGTTGTAGACTATTGAACTGTTGGAGACTGTAGTAGACTGTAGGAGGCTGTAGTAGGCTGGGAGACTGTAGTAGACTGTGGGGCTGTAGTAGACTGTAGGAGACTGTACTAGACTGCAGTAGACTGTAGTAGACTGTAGGAGACTGTAGGAGGCTGTAGTAGACTCATACAATGTATTCATGAGCCTGACACTCCCTCTCTCAAGTTTAAATTGAAAGATACTTCACACACTATGAGGGGGGGGGGGAGTTACCTGGGCCCCGGGAGGTTACCTGGGCCCTTGGGGGCTACCTGGGCCCCGTGGAGTAAACTAGGTCCCGGGGGGTCAACCGGGGCTATATGTACTCGTGTAGTATCATACATTATAGCCATTGTATATTTCATCGTCTTATATTTAACATTTCATATATCGATATATTTCACATACTGTTCACTGAAATAACAGATAGCAGTGTGTCTATAAATATACATAAATAATACATAAATATACACTACTATGTATATAAAGAACTATAACATGTATACCTGTACTCACAACACCTGTAAAATAATAACATGTATACCTGTACTCACAACACCTGTAAAATAATAATATGTATACCTGGATCTCTATCAACAATGTTATTACGCTCCATATTAGTATAACTAACAAAACTCTCCCTGACGCTGTATTGTAAAGCCGACTGATGGAACACTCTGCTAAATTACTCCTAACTTGAGCTATAAACATCATCTTCTCTTAATGATGCAATCGATCCAGTGTTTATATTGGTGCGTGGTGCTGAGAGTGTGTGGTGCTGAGAGTGTGTGGTGCTGATGGTGCGTGGTGGTGAGTGTGTGGTGCTGATGGTGCGTGTGGTGGTGAGTGTGTGGTGCTGAGGTGTGTGGTGTATGGTGCGTGGTGGTGAGAGTATGTGGTGCTGATGGTGCGTGGTGGTGAGTGTGTGTGGTGCTGATGGTGTGTGGTGCTGATGGTGCGTGGTGGTGAGTGTGTGGTGCTCAGTGTGTGGTGCTGATGGTGTGTGGTGCTGATGGTGTGTGCTGATGGTGCGTGGTGGTGAGTGTGTGGTGCTGAGAGTGTGTGGTGCTGATTTTGCGTGGTGCTGATTGTGCGTGGTGCTCGGTGTGGTGCTGATGGTGCGTGGTGCTGATGGTGCGTGGTGGTGAGTGTGTGATGCTGAGGTGTGTGGTGCGTGGTGCGTGGTGCTGATGGTGCGTGGTGCTGGTGTGGTGCTGATGGTGCGTGGTGCTGATGGTGCGTGGTGGTGAGAGTGTGTGATGCTGAGGTGTGTGATGCTGATGGTGCGTGGTGCTGATGGTGTGTGGTGCTGATGGTGCGTGGTGGTGGTGGTGTGTGGTGCTGAGGTGTGTGGTGCTGATTTTGCGTGGTGCTGATTGTGCGTGGTGCTCAGTGTGTGGTGCTGATGGTGCGTGGTGCTGATGGTGCGTGGTGGTGAGAGTGGTGTGATGCTGAGGTGTGTGGTGCTGATGGTGCGTGGTGCTGATGGTGCGTGGTGCTGAGTGTGTGGTGCTGAGTGTGTGGTGCTGATGGTGCGTGGTGGTGAGAGTGTGTGATGCTGAGGTGTGTGGTGCTGATGGTGCGTGGTGCTGATGGTGCGTGGTGCTGAGTGTGTGGTGCTGATGGTGCGTGGTGCTGATGGTGCGTGGTGGTGAGAGTGTGTGTGATGCTGAGAGTGTGTGGTGCTGAGGTGTGTGATGCTGATGGTGCGTGGTGGTGAGAGTGCGTGATGCTGAGGTGTGTGGTGCTGATGGTGCGTGGTGGTGAGGTGTGTGGTGCTGAGGTGTGTGATGCTGATGGTGCGTGGTGCTGATGGTGCGTGGTGCTGAGTGTGTGGTGCTTATGGTGCGTGGTGCTGATGGTGCGTGGTGCTGATGGTGTGTGGTGGTGAGGTGTGTGATGCTGAGGTGTGGTGCTGATGGTGCGTGGTGGTGAGGTGTGTGATGCTGGGGTGTGTGGTGCTGATGGTGTGTGGTGCTGATGGTGCGTGGTGCTGATGGTGCGTGGTCTGATGGTGCGTGGTGCTGAGTGTGGTGCTGATGGTGTGTGGTTCTGATGGTGCGTGGTGGTGAGGTGTGTGATGCTGAGGTGTGTGTGGTGCTGATGGTGCGTGGTGGTGAGGTGTGTGATGCTGAGGTGTGTGATGCTGATGGTGCGTGGTGCTGATGGTGCGTGGTGCTGAGGTGTGTGGTGCTGATGGTGTGTGGTGCTGATGGTGCGTGGTGCTGATGGTGCGTGGTGCTGAGTGTGTGGTGCTGATGGTGTGGTTCTGATGGTGCGTGGTGGTGAGAGTGTGATGCTGAGGTGTGTGGTGCTGATGGTGCGTGGTGGTGAGAGTGTGTGATGCTGAGTGTGTGGTGCTGATGGTGTGTGGTGCTGATGGTGCGTGGTGGTGAGGTGTGTGATGCTGAGGTGTGTGGTGCTGATGGTGCGTGGTGCTGATGGTGCGTGGTGCTGGTGTGTGGTGCTGATGGTGCGTGGTGCTGATGGTGCGTGGTGGTGAGTGTGTGATGCTGAGAGTGTGTGGTGCTGAGTGTGTGATGCTGATGGTGCGTGGTGGTGAGTGCGTGATGCTGAAGGGTGTGTGGTGCTGATGGTGCGTGGTGGTGAAGTGTGTGGGCTGAGGTGTGTGATGCTGATGGTGCGTGGTGCTGATGGTGCGTGGTGCTGAGTGTGTGGTGCTGATGGTGCGTGGTGCTGATGGTGCGTGGTGCTGATGGTGTGTGGTGGTGAGTGTGTGATGCTGAGGTGTGTGGTGCTGATGGTGCGTGGTGGTGAGGTGTGTGATGCTGAGGGTGTGGTGCTGAGAGTGCGTGGTGCTGAGAGTGCGTGGTGCTGAGAGTGTGTGGTGCTGATGGTGCGTGGTGCTGAGGGGTGTGTGGTGCTGATGGTGTGTGTGCTGATGGTGCGTGGTGGTGAGAGTGTGTGGTGCTGACGGGTGTGTGGTGCTGATGGTGCGTGGTGGAGGTGAGGGGCAGCCAGCGATGGTGTGTGGTGCTGAGGTGTGTGGTGCTGATGGTGTGTGGTGCTGATGGTGCGTGGTGGTGAGAGTGTGTGATGCTGTGGTGCGTGGTGGTGAGTGTGTGATGCTGAGTGTGTGGTGCTGATGGTGCTGGTGGTGCTGAGAGTGCGTGGTGCTGATGGTGTGTGTGTGTTGATGGTGCGTGGTGCTGATGGTGTGTGTGTGTGTTGATGGTGCGTGGTGCTGATGGTGCGTGGTGCTGATGGTGTGTGGTGCTGATGGTGCGTGGTGGTGAAATTGTGTGATGCTGAGAGTGTGTGGTGCTGATGGTGCGTGGTGCTGAGAGTGCGTGGTGCTGATGGTGTGTGTGTGTGTTGATGGTGCGTGGTGCTGATGGTGTGTGTGTGTGTGTTGATGCGTGGTGCTGTGCTGATAAACGGAGGTTTTAGCTAACGAAGCCTTTAGTTAACGAAGAATATACCTAACGGAAAATGTAGCTAAGAAAACGATTAGCTAAAGAAACACCGAACTAACGAACCACCACCCAGCTAACGAACCACCACCCAGCTAACGAACCACCCCACTAACGAACCACCCCACTAACGAACCACCCCACTAACGAACCACCCCACTAACGAACCACCACGCTAACGAACCACCTAGATGAAAATACTCCCGACCACAAATTTGTTTACAACTCTGCCGTTCGCGAGGCTTAAGGCGGATTCTACGACTGCATCCTGATGTTAAATACTCAACCACGTACAAGTTTTTCTCCGTAATTTTTAATACCTCAAGTTAGGTTACCTGGAGTTATGTTACCTTAAGTTATTTTAAATTATATTACCTTGCGTTGTATTTGATTAAGCCATATTAGTTTAAGTTAAATTTAGTTATATTATCTTTAAAGTTATTTTATTTTAAATTATATTAGATTAAGTTATGGTATTTTAAGTTATATTAAGAACATTATAATAAACACAAAAAAATATTTAGAACACATCAGTAACACACGGAGAACAATAACAACATAGTAACAACATTGAGAACAAGACAGGCCCTACAACACAACCTGAGGCACCCCAGTAGTTACCCCTAACCACTCTATGGCTCGTCCCACTATAACTACCCATTGTTTACGTCTAATTGGTCAATGATAAGTGTGGGCGTGGGGTCGGACGTATGAGCAGGCGTGTAGACGTGGAATGGGTGTAGTGTGGGTACGGGCGTGGGGATGGTTGTGTGGGCGTGGGTACGGGCGTTTGGGCGTGGAGATGGTTGTGTGGGCGTGGGGATGGGCGTCGGGACGGGTGTTTGGGGCGTGGGGGCGGGCGCGTGGGTTCGGCGTCGGGACGGGCGGCGTAACATGAACACGCTTGCTGATATTTCTCCAGCAAATTAGATTTAGTGTTAAAACCATGGGTAATGGGGGTGGGGTGAGGAGGGGTGTGAGAGAGGGAGGGTGAGGGGAGAGGGGAGGGGGGGGGGGGAGGGGAGGTGTGAGGGGGGGTGTGGAGGGGAGGAGGTGTGAGAGGAGGTGTGGGGGAGAGGAGAGTATATGAAAGGAGGGAAAAAAGGGTGGCGAGGAAGAAATTAATAGAAAGGAGGGAGGAAGGAAGGAAAGGAAGGAAGGAAGAAGGAAGGAGGAAGGAAGAGAAGGAAGGAAGGGAGGGAGGAAGAAGAGAAGGAAGGAAAGAAGGAAGGGAGGAAGGAAGGAAGAAGGAAAGAAGGAAGGAAGGAGGAAGAAGAAGAAGGAAGGGAGGAAGGAAGAAGGAAGGAAGGAGGAAGGAAAGAAGAGGAGGAAGGAAGGAAAGAAAGAAGGAAGGGAGGAAGGAAGAAGAAGGAAGGAAAAAGGAAGGGAGGAAGGAAGACGTCACTCTGTCATCTTGGGAGCAGTGGTGAAGTCATATTGGCTGTATCTGTCCTGTCTGTCTGTCTGTGTTCAGTGTATGACAAATGATCTTATTAATAGACAGTCTCTCTCTCTCTCTCTCTCTCTCTCTCTCTCTTTTTTGGCGAAAAGTGTGTGTGTGTGTGTGTGTGTGTGTGTGTGTGTGTGTGTGTGTGTGTGTGTGTGTGTGTGTGTGTGTGTGTTCCCAGGACACACATTATCATTTTTAAGAATATCATATGACAGACGACAAATGGTGGTAGATGCTGGTGGTGGTAGGAGGGTGATGGTTGTAGGAGGGTGATGGTGGTAGATGCTGGTGGTGGTAGTGGTAGTGGTAGGTCTGGGGTGTTGTGATGGTGGCAGTGGTTTTAGGTTGGTGGTGGTAGTGATGGTAGTAGTAGTGGTAGTAGTAGTAGTGGTGGTGGTAGTTGTGGTGGTGGTAGTGGTGGTAGGTTGGGGGTGGTTGTGATGGTGGCAGTGGTTTTAGGTTGGTGGTGGTAGTGATGGTAGTAGTAGTGGTAGTAGTAGTGGTGGTGGTAGTAGTTGCGGTGGTAGTAGTAGTGGTAGTAGTAGTAGTGGTAGTAGTAGTAGTTGCGGTGGTGGTAGTAATTCTTTTTTCGTTCTCTTCCTCGATAATGATCCTTCACCACGACCTGAAGTGTGTCAAATACTCAAGGTGTTCAAGTGTGTCGTACTCCAGGTGTTCAAGTGTGTCGTACTCAGGGTGTTCAAGTGTGTCGTACTCAGGTGTCAAGTGTGTCGTAGTCAGACAGACAGACAGACAGACAGACAGTGAACCAACACAAAAGATCATATGCAAACTTAACACAGTGGCTGAGACAACTACTACTACTCCCTCTGACCCCTGACCTCTGACTCCTGCTCCCTGACCCCTGCTCCTGACCCCTGCTCTTTGACCCCTTCTCCTGACCCTGCTCCCTGACCCTGCTCTCTGACCCCTTCTCCTGACCCCTGCTCCTGACCCCTGCTCCCTGACCCCTGCTCTCTGACCCCTTCTCCCTGACCCTGCTCCTGACCCTGCTCCCTGACCCCTGCTCCTGACCCCCTCCTGACCCTGGTGACAATATGCACAGCAATGTGTGCTGTGTGGCTCACCCAGGGGGGAGGGAAAAGAATAATTCAGGGAGGAGAGAAGACAGGGAAAGGAGGGAGGGAGGGAAGGAGGGATGGAGGAAGGAGGGAGAGGGGAGGGAGGAGGAAGTTTTAAGACAAGACAGGAGGGAGGGAGAGGGAAGGAGGGAGGAAGTGTTAAAGACTAGACAGAAGGAGGGGGAGGGAGAGGAGGGAGAGTTTTAAGACAAGATGATATAGGAAGGAGGGGGAGGGAGGGAGGGGAGGGAGGAGGGAAGTTTTAAGACAAGATAGGAAGGAGGGAGGAGGGAGGAGGGAAGGAGGAAGTTTTAAGACAGACAGGAAGGAGGGGAGGGAGGGAGGGAGGAGGGGGAAGGAGGAGGAGGGAGAAAGGTCGACACTGATGATGAGTCTGATGGGTGCAGCTGTCCGCCATTATCCACTTGTCTCACCCCCAAGTTGCCAATTGCTGCGTTTCTTCCTCCCTGGTCCACTTAGGTTGTCTTCCACCCCCCACTCCACCCACTACTCCACCCCTACTCCACCCCTACTCCACCCCTTACTCTATTCCCCACTCCACCCCCCACTCCACTCCTCACTCCACTCCTACGCCACCCCCACTCACTCTACCCCCACTCAGTCCCTCTCACTACACCCCCAGTCCACCCCAACTCTAACACCCCCCCAACCCACTCCACTCTCAAGGTTGTGTTGTGTATGAATGAGTGGGAAAGAGGGGGAGAGGCCTGGGAGTGGTGTGGGGTAATGAGAGGTGTAGGGGCAGTGAGGGAGTGGTGTGAGGGTGAGTAGTGTAGGGGGGGGAGGGGAAGCAGTGAGTGGTGTGGTGGGAGTGGGAGGAAGGGTGTGGTTTGGAGGGAGTGAGAGGGATAAGGAGGGAGGGAAGGAGAGGGAAGACCTGGGAGTGGTGTGTTTGGGTGTGGTTCCTATTGTCGCCCTGAGGAACACTGCCTTTAAAATTAAATAAACCCCAGATTCCCTCCTTCCTTTTTCCGCCTTCCTTCCTTCCACCTTCCTTCTTCCACCCTCCACCCTCCGCCCTCCTGCCATTACGACCTCCTGCCATCACGACCTCCTGCCATCACGACCTCCTGCCATCACGACCTCCTACCATCACGACCTCCCACCATCCGACCTCCCACCATCACCACCTCCCACCATCACCACCTCCCACCACGACCCCACCATCACGACCTCCCACCATCACCACCTCCCACCATCACGACCTCCCACCGTCACGACCTCCCACCATCACCACCTCCACCATCACCACCTCCCACCATCACCACCTCCCACCATCACGACCTCCCACCATCACGACCTCCCACCATCACGACCTCCCACCATCACGACTCTCCCACCATCACGACCTCCCACCATCACCACCTCCCACCATCACCACCTCCCACCATCACGACTCCCACCATCACGACCCCCCACCATCACGACTCCTCCTGCCATCACGACCTCCCGCCATCATGACTCCTCCCACCATCACGACCTCCCACCATCACCACCTCCCACCATCACACACATTCCCCACCATCACGACCTCCCACCATCACGACTCCTCCCACCATCACGACCTCCCACCATCACGACTCCCACCATCACGACTCCCACCATCACGAGACCTCCCACCATCACGCCATCTCCCACCATCACGACCTCCCACCATCACGAATTCCCCACCATCACGACCTCCCACCATCACGACCTCCCACCATCACGACTCCCACCATCACCACCTCTCACCATCACGACCTCCCACCATCACGACCTCCCACCATCACGACTCCCACCATCACGACTCCCACCATCACGAGACCTCCCAACACCATCACGACCTCCCACCATCACGACCTCCCCACCATCACGACCTCCCACCCATCACGACCCTCCCACCATCACGACCTCCCACCATCACGACCTCCCACCATCACGACCATCACGACTCCCACCATCACGACTCCTCCCACCATCACGACCTCCACCATCACCACCTCCCACCACTGACTACCTCCCACCATCACGACCTCCCACCATCACCACCTCCCACCATCACCACCTCCCCCACCATCACGACCCATCACGACCTCCCACCATCACGACCTCCCACCATCACGACCTCTCCTTCCCTCTTCAGCTGTCCTCCATCTCACAACTGTCTCTCCAGATCACCCAGAAGAAGGAAATTGTTTACCCATCACACAGCCGACACACAGCCGACATACAGCCGTCACACAGCCGACATACAGCCGACAAACAGCCGACACACAGCCGTAATACAGCCCATACATACCCACTACACAGCCAACAAACAGCCGACATACAGCCGACACACAGCCGATACATACCCGTCACACAGCCGACATACAGCCGACACACAGCCGATACATACCCGTCACACAGCCAACATACAGCCGACACATAGGCAATACATACCCGTAGCACAGCCGACATACAATCGACACACAGCCGAGACACAGCCGACACGGAGGTAGGAGGAGGAACGGAACACCAATTTTCCTGTTAAGCCATTTGAGGTTCTTAACACTGCTGCTTCAACATCCTCCTGCTCCTCTTCCTCCCATTCTTCTTCTTCCTCTCTTCCTCCCATTCTTCTTCTTCCTCTCTTCCTCTTCTTCCTCTCTTCCTCCCATTCTTCTTCTTCCTCTCTTCCCTCCCTATTCTTCTTTCTTCCCTCTTCCCTCTTCTCTTCCTCCCCCTTCTCCTCCTATTCTTCTTCTTCCTCTCTTCCTCCTATTCTTCTTCTTCCTCTCTTCCTCTTCTTCCTCTCTTCCTCTTCTTCCTCTCTTCCTCCTATTCTTCTTCTTCCTCTCTTCCTCCTATTCTTCTTCTTCCTCTCTTCCTCTTCTTCCTCTCTTCCTCCTATTCTTCTCCTTCCTCTCTTCCTCCCATTCTTCTTCTTCCTCTCTTCCTCTTCTTCCTCTCTTCCTCTTATTCTTCTTCCTCCTATTCTCCTCCTCCCCACCTCTGACCCCCCCAACACATTAAGTCACATTATGTACTCAAGTTCACAAAACTCTGTAATGAGATCTGTAATTACTACAAAGTTTTGGGCCGTGATATTGTCCAGGAGGTGGCTGTGTTGTGCTGTGTTGTGCTGTGTTGTGCTGTGTTGTGCTGTAGTGAGGGTGTGGAGGTGCTGTGTTGTGCTGTGTTGCTGTAGTGAGGGTGTGGAGGTGCTGTGGGTTGTGCCAGTTGCTGTAGTAATGGTGTGGAGGTGCTAGTTGTGCTGTGTTGTGCTGTGTTGTGCTGGGTGTTGTGCTGTAGTGAGGGGTGTGGAGGTGCTGTGTTGTGCTGTGTTGTGCTGTGTTGTGCCAGGAGGGTGTGGAGGTGC